AAGCTGCCAGATCCAGGACTCCAGCCATGTGGGAGCCCAGCACCCTTAATCACCATACCACCTGCTGGCTCCCCAGTGTAATTTTTTAAAATTTTATTTTATTATTATCATAATTTTTATATTACATTTAATCACATATATCTTTACATTGCCCCAGTGTAATTTTCAAGCTGCCAGGTCCAGGAGTTGAACCGTGGTCAGCCAGGTGGGAGTCCAGCACCTTTACCACTATACCACCTGCTGACTGTTGAACACTTATTAAAGAAAGTCATGTGATAAGATCACAGAGGGTCAGACTTAGAAGAGGAGGAGAAATTGGGACCAGCAGTTAGCGTAATGGCTTTGTCGCTCGACTCCCATGTAGTCGACCGTGGTTCGCGTCCCAGACCCGGTAAAACTCACGCTGGGCACGTGTGTGTGCATGCCCAAGATCCCGAGAGAACGGAGGAGAAGGGATTGTGGTGTGGCCATCCCCTGTGGGGGGGGATTTCTCGCTTTCTGTCTCTCTGTCTCTCTCTCTCTCTCTCTGGTGAGCGCACGCACCCTATAGCAAAAACCTCTTTAAAAAAAAAAAAGAAGAAGAAGAGGAGGAGAGATTGTATCTTACTGCTTCAAGAGCACATGAGACCTTCAACTCTAACAGCTATTGGTAGGGTTGTTATTATGGGGAACACTCAGTGAATCATTTGAAAACAATCTCATTCCAGAGATTACATTCCTAACCCCCTTTACATTAAGGAATCTGTTACCTTTTTGTTTGTTTGTTTGTTTCAGCAAAAGCATTTGGTAGATGCACAGGTAAAATTTTATTGAGTTGAATAGGTGTATTGGTCAAGGTTCTCCAGAGAAATAGAACCAATAGGAGATACATAGAATGACATTTGTATTTGTCATGAGGGTTGGGATCACAAGATTATGGAGGCTGAGAAGTCCATTGATTTGCCATCCGTGAGATGGAAGCTCAGGAAAGCCACTGGTATAGGGTGTAGGTTCAATCCAAATTTGAGGAAGCAGAACAGCCGTTGGTTTATCTCCTAGTCCAAGTC